AAAATAGGGCCCACCAGCGGCCGAGCGGTAAAGTCGCTGAACACTGGTAGTTCGGTCCGAGGTTCGAATCCCGCGGACTGGCTGCATGGGCGTTTTCGGGGTTTTCCCCATGTGTAACGTGTATACGAACCAGTTTCCCTTAGAAAGTGCGGTAAAATCCTAGTATACGGTGCAGCCTTGGCGCGACTTTGAAAATTATCGCCAACACCAAAAATGATCCAAAGAACATCTATATATATACTATACACACATACTATATATACTATATACATAGTATATACTATGTTTAACTGTATATTTTCTTTGAATGACCCGTTAACTACTCATCGTATATGTCCCGTTTTTACTGCTCATCATAAAGTCACCAAAAGTAGCCAAATCCCGTGTGCACCGGATACTAGGATTAAACCGAAAGTGCTCCACGAAGGCATCCCTCCCCTTAGGCAGATAGCCCTCAAGGCTTTGCCATAATCTCACTCACACACACACATATCAGAAAATACATATTGGGCATCGGAATGATTTAGGTCACTTATTTTTAACAACAGATGAAATAAAAAATATTGCATCAAAGATAGCAGCAAAAATTTCTCTGGATAATATTTTAGATGAAATTAGAAATTCTCTATGAGATGCTGGGCTTGAGAAGGTTCATTTACTTACAAAACAAGATTTACATAACATCAAAAAATCTTTCAATTTGTCTTCTAATTCTGTTAAACATGAAAATGATTAGGTTTGTGTAGATACGTGGGTATCTGAAATGCAAAATTCTGAACATCCATGCATTTCATTTTATAAAAACCCAGGGATCAACATAGCATGAGTGAATATTGTACACAATATTCATTTCTAAAAGGAAATGATTTTGTTTTGATAATGATGACAGAAGCACAAAGAGAGATACTGAAAAAAAATTTAGTTCTGACTTGTATATGTATTGATGGTACACATGGGGTGAATGCATACAGATTTGAACTCGTAACTTTACTTACAATAGATGATTTGTGCTAAGGATTCCCGTGTGCATTTTTAATTTCTAATCCATGTGATCAGCCAGTGCTATCATTTTTTTTTCATGTATTAAAGAAAATGTTGGGCAAATACAACCACAAATATTTATGTCTGAAATGGGTTTACTACAGAAACGTCTTTTTTGTGCATGGCATATTGATAGAGCCTGGACAAACAATTTAAAAAAAAAAAAAAAAAGAAAATCAATGGTGTTGAAAAACAGGCAAAAACATATAAAATTATTAGATCTCTCTTAGAAGAACAAGACATTCATACTTTTCATACACTGACAGAAGCAGCAATAAAATTACTTAAAGAAGATCCTGACACTATTGAATTTGTAAAATACTTTGAAACATATTATTTATAAAATACATCTAGCTGGGCATACTGTTATAGACTTCACAGTGGTGTTAACACAAACATGCACATCGAATGAATTCACCGAACATTAAAATATATTTATCTTCATGGAAAAAATGTTAAGAGATTGGATAACACTATACATGGTATTATGAGATTTGTAAGAGATAAAATAAAATGATTAACTGCTTAATTACAGCAAATAAAGTTAAATTAACAAGTAAGATTTGGGTTTTAAGAATCAGACATAAAACAAATGAAACACTATGTTTATAAGTAATAGAGAATGAGAATGGGTGGTCTGTTTCATCAACACATACAGAAATATACACTATACATAAAAGTAACAAAACTTGTACATGTCACATACAGTGCACTGTGTGTAATCTATGCATTCAATGATATATATGCAGCTGTATTGATTCATCAGTTTGTAGAGACATTAGGTATTTTTTTGAAAGCAGGCAAGATGAAAAATATGCAACGCCTTCACCGGGAATCAAACCGCGGACCTCTGGATACATATCACACCATGAAGGCATGCCAAGAAGGTGGGAGAAAATACTTTACCTAATCGCCAAATCCTGGGTGTGGAGAACAATCATCTAACACCCTTTTAGTTCGGGCACCACTGTACAGACATTAGAATTTTACATTGGAAGCAAGAGGGATTGAAAAATTAGCAATGCCTTCGCCGGGAATCGAACCACGGACCTCTGGAATATGCGCCCAGTGTGCAGACCACCACACCAAGAAGGCGGGAGAAATACCTTATAAGTTAGGTGGAGTATGTGCAAACACACTAGAAATACTGCTACTTATTAAATACATTAATTACATCAGCACACTAGAAATACTGCTACTTATTAAATACATTACTTACATCAGCACACTAGAAATACTGCTACTTATACTACAACTACAATACATAATGAATTATCCACTTATTATAGATGATGAAAATGAATTTTGAATTAAGTAGCCGAAAAAAAAAATCACAGACCCTCTCACTGGAACACACAGAGTCGTAGCTAGGGTTTTCAGCGCCCAGAGACAACTGAAGATTTCGTGCCCCCTACTGCTCGCCAAGGATGGAAAAGATTTAATTCTAAAATGTCGTAACATCAGTTTGGCGCCCCTTGGATTCTGCGCCCGGGAACAGATGCCCCCTTGCCCCCCTCTAGCTATGCCCCTGGGAACACAGAAAGAATGAACTAAAACAAACATGTTTAGAATTAGTAGATTCATTAAAATCTGACAAACAATGTGATGTGTTAAACAAGATTCTTAAGTCAGCACCACTACAACTAGAAGCGGCTGATATGTTAAATGCACAAGAAATACATTTCCCAAGTGCTAATAAAGATATTCCACCTAATAAAAATATAATAATACCCAAAAGATTCTCAAATACAAAACGAAAAGGGAAACTGACAAAATAGTAACTTCACAGAATGAAGAATGAACAATTCTAAAAATTATTTTGGATCACAAAAATTTTACACATAATAGCACAGAAGAAACTTAACATATCTAGTGAAAAATATATATTTTAACAATAGTCATTAGTACCTATTCACAATTCCTTTTGTCCATTTTTATCATCTAAAACATCTTCTTTCAACTGCCTGTAAGTGTTTTATATGTGTCAGATGATATTTTTTTTTCTTATTTATATAATATCTCTCTCATTCTTCAGAACTTCTCTTTAATAATAAGATAATTCCCACTCTGATCCTTAAAATGATCAGGAACAGATGTAGAAGTTCAGAACAGGGTTTTAAACCTTTATCTCAGGTCCTCGTGGTAGGCTGATGTATTCTGTGATTAATGAGTAAGTCTATTTTTGTTCATCCTCCTTGCATTACTGTCTTCCTTCCTCCCCCCCCCCAAGTCCAACAGTACCAAATATTGTCCATACAATCAATCATTCATTGACTTTTATACTGTTCAGTCAATAGATTATTACCAAACGTTTTAATGTTGATAAATATATTTTGGTGAAACTGAGTCAATCCCAAATTTGAACAGTAAGCAATATTTTCTACTATTTAATATTTGTCAAGTTTTTTATTTTCTAATTATTCAACCCCATGTACATTCACATGTTGTGCACTGGCCATTTTATTATGTGTAGAATTGTTTAAAACTAACTGAACATTGTAACAATCTCATCACAGTTTTGTGAATTGCCACATGCTGCTACATTTTTATTTTGGGGTTTTAATTATTAATAACATTAAATGGTAGAAACCTTAATTTTTTTAATGCTAACTAGCTTTACATACCTGGTAAAGGTACCTGGTATTCCTGTACCTTGAATAAGGCTTACTTGTACATTATGTAAACTTGTATTTTATGCCAATCAGTCCCCCTCCCCACACATGTTGATGTCAGCATTTATTCGTATTCCTTACATTTTACAGCAATAATTCATAAGTTTGTCTTATAGGATATCTGAGATATGAAGGAATATGTAAAGAACACGTTCCCCCCCTTCGGGGCCGAATTTTGAAAACGTTTGAAATTGAAATTGGTTTTTAGGTATTCATATTCCATACATTTTAACTCTTTCGCATCGAAGTCGCCCCAAGCGCCCGAGCATTCAGACATCGGCTGGACGCCCGAATAATTTCCTACCCAGTGCTTTCCCCATCACGTTACTTACTGCATTACTCATTGCTTTCAGGTGTTGTTAAATCACATGTCAATCATTCTTTTGAAGCTACTAAAAGTAGCTTCCTTGTTTCCTTTGTTCCTTCCTTTCCTTTGTTTACTGTCAGTGTTTAGCTTTTGATGCCCGAAGTTGCAATCCCGTCCCAAGGGGGAACTTCACGCAGTGTCAAAGCGTCGAAGAAAGAAGTTCTCGCTTTACTTAAGTAAGGCTATTGTTAGCACTGTAGTATTCAACTTGTCATGGGGGAAGGAAAAGCATTCCAGGAGAAATTCTTAGATACGGGCGTTTTCGATGTTTGGGGAATTGAGATTTTGCCCTCTCTCGATGCGAATTAAAGCAAGAGTTAAAGCAGGGAGTTAAAGCAAGAATTTTATGTACATCTGTTTCTTCCTTATATGAAAAAACATAAAAACACGTTTTGCCTACCGAATCTTAAAAATCGCTTCTTAAATAACATCTTCGGTACAAAAGGAATAAGCTCCTAAGTTTTGATATCTCTAATAGCTTTGGGCGATGATCTGTAGGTGAATAAATCAGGAATTCTTCCTTTATGTATAGATTTATAATAAAAACATAAATATCCAATTAAAAAGAAAACAAATAAATAAAATATTAATTTACCAATACGCACCAAGTTTGCAACGTTTTAAACGAGTGTCGTTTTAAAAAAACGGCTTTGACCACTCCAAGCTTTTTGGAGTAAACACGCTGCGCGTGAATCTGCACAAATGATCAGGGAGGAATCAGGAGGAAACTAGCATCTGAGGGGCTAGACGCTTGTGCCTCGTGCCAGTAGCGTGGTTGCAGTGGTCCGAGATGGAAGCTCTTATTCCTTCTCCTGCCGCCTGCGAGGTTGGGTCAGTGATAAAGTTCTTGAATGCAAGTACTGCGCCAATTGAAATTAATTGTCAGGTCTATGGGACAAACATCATGAGTAAAGCAGATGATGCATCGTTGGTGTAGGCAGTTTTCAGAAGGTCATCAAAGTGCTCATAATGAAGAGTGCAGTGGCAGACAGTCCCTCATCAATGATGATCTTGTTGAGCTTGTGCGGCAGCAGCTCGTGATGGAGAACCGTCGCTTCACGATTACGAAGCTGAGCAGCCATTTTCTGCAGATATCACAATCCTTGTTGCAAGAGATTGTCACTAAGCACCTGCTGTTCAAAAAATTGTGTGCCAGGTGGGTGCCGAAAAACCCGACATCTGAACACAAAATTGAACGCTCAGGAGCAGCACTGACATTTCTGTAACGGTATCACGATGACGGCGACAAGTTCCTCAATGGGATCGTCACAGGCAATCAGACTTGGATTCTGCACTTCGCCGCGGAAACCAAGCAGCAGTCAATGCATTGGCAGCATAGTGGATCTCCAGTCGGGACGAAATTCAAACAGACGCTATCGGTACACAAAGTGATGTGCACAGTGTTCTGGGACAAGAAGGGCATTCTGCTCATTGAGTTCCTTCCACGTGGTGAAACAGTAAACGCTGACCATTACTGTGAAACACTGTGGAAATTGTGACGCGCCATTTGAAAAAGATAAATGGCTTCGAAACGTTTTGGGGATCGAGAAGTGATATGTCTTCATACAACTTCCTATGCCCTTTAAACCTACTGTTCATCGATTAAATGGCGTTATCCAATATAAAAGTACACGTATTGGCGTTATCCATATAAAGTAAAAGACAATAATTTGTTTGATAGAGCAATTTAAATTATAGTCGGCCGATTCTTCATCGTCTAATTGTTTCACTTTTGGTATCTTCTAACAGGTAGCTCTTCTTTTATAACTCAACCCAGCCTTTCTAGTTTATTATTGTAATCCGTTGCAAACAATTTTGATGCATTAAATGTTAAATTGAAGTTTCTAGAGATGGCTTTTAAAGAGCTTGCAGCCTCCCTAACTATATTATATGCTAGCATGTAATCTAATCCTTTAGTCTGCAAATATTTCATTACTGGCTCAGTATATTGAAATATTTTCAAATATACATGAGCAGACAAAATTATTCTAAAAGTTGATATTTTATCCAGAATAGATTTTGCCATTTGTCGTATCTGTGCATTTTGTATACCATTGGAAGATATACTTTTCAGAGAAAGTATTAATTCTACGCACATACCCTCCCTCGCAGGGCTGTCTCGCCGAGTCATCTGTGTCAATTCGATTGTTCGAATTTCTTGATCAGCCCATAACCGCACCAGCCTTATCCACCACTGAATCTTACGGATATCTAAAGTGTGAAGAAATATGTGAAAACATGTTTTGCCCCTGTGGCGACTTGCCTATTACAATGCTGCCAGTCTGGTAACCCATAACAATGAAAGACAAAATAATATTTATTCTATTCTATTGTTATGATTATTACGATCTGTCTCAATTATTGTACTACCTTAATAAAAATTTTATTACCACAGCCCCCTACCCCCTTGGGGGCCGAATTCTCAAGGGTAGGGGTCCTTGGGGGGGGGTCGAACTTCTGAAACTGGTTTTTAAGTATTCATGTTCCATACATTTTAAAGCAAGACTCTTGTGTACATCTGTTTCTTCCTTATATGAAAAAACGTAAAAAAAACATTTTTTGCCCTCCCCCCCATTGGGTGCCGAATTTTTAAAAATCTCTTCTTAAATGACGCCTTCAGTAGACAAGAAATGAGTTCCTAGCTTTTGATATCTGCATCTGTAATAGCTTTGGGCGATGATGTATAGATGAATGAATGAATAAATATCAGGAATTCTTTTATACACAAATCAAAATAATATATTATTTGATAGAAAATGAGAAACAACCAAAAATCAATATCAACATGTAAATATGTATCCGACTTAAAAAAAAGAAAAATACTGTAGAAAAAAAATAAGAAATTAATTTGCACTGAGTAATGCGCAGCACTTTCGTAACTTGACATTCTTTGGCCAGCTGATTCCTTTCTGCATGCCGAGCTCCCTGACATAAACACGCTGCGCGTGAATCTGCGCAAATGATCAGGGAGGAATCAGGAGGAAACTAGCATCTGAGGGGCTAGACGCTTGTGACGCCAGACACAGACCCTGCCATCCGAACGGTAAAGGGTGAAGCTTGATTTATCACTCCAAAGAACCAGTTTACACTGATCTACGGTCCAATTTCGATGTGCTTTGCACCACATTAACCGAGCAGCGCGGTTGGACTTTGTGATCAAAGGCTTATGGGCAGCAGCTCGACCATGAAAACCAAGCAGATGTGCTTCCTTACGGATGGTATTCATTGAAACAACACTCCCAGATGCCTGTTGAAACTCCTCGCGGATGAGGGCCATTGGTTGGTTGCGGTTCTTCCGAATTTCTCTGGACAGCCCTCGTCGGTCTCTATCTCCCAGTTTCATTGGTCTGCCTACTCGGGGCACATTCCGACAATCACCGCTCACCTTCCACTTCTTAATCACATAGGCCACTGTCGATTTTGGGTACTTCAGATCGCTAGATATGTTTCTTAAGGATCGGCCACATTTGTGATCCCCGATAATTATACCTTTCTCGAAATCAGAGAGCTCCGAACTGTGAGGCATCTTGCATGCGACTAAAGCCGATGCTGTTTCCTACACGATATATACCAGCGGAGTTCGTTACGTACCTTAGGACCGGAGATATCGTCATTTGCATAGGTGTCCAAATACGTATTGGTAGTCAGTGTAGTAGAATCAATGGCGCATAACCAGAAATGTTATGTGCGCCTAACTAAACATTAAAAATATCTGAATATTTTCTTTAACGAGTGAATTTTGTCGCATGCAGCTTTATACACATTTAAGTATTGGTACTTATCTTTAGGCTTTCAGCACAGTTTTCTATAGCATCATTGTGCATACGTTACTTTTGACATCGGCGATCGAAGTTTTGGCATATTTCGAAGACAACAATTGTAATATAATGAAAAATTTGATTTGCATATTCATTATTTACACGTGGAAATTTTTGTTGAGGTAAATATCTTTTTCCATAAGCTTACATTTAGTTGCTTAGAAATAAATTGTACTTCATTCATAATATGCTGTTTAGTTCGACTCTATACAATCGCAGATGAAGACTAGTTAAAATCGCGATTTCCCGGATGGCTGAAAATATTCGAACTTCTCAGAGATCTTTGCGCAGAATAATAAAAAATTATGAAATTTATTTCCGCCTTTTATAACAAAGTGTAATTTATAGAATGTGCACTGTTTAAGACGAGGCCATCCCTTAAAGCTCACATTTTTATTGTCAACTGTTCTTCCGTGCACTTTTTCAAAAACTGGTTCTAGATATAAAGGGAGTATGATACACAACTCATTTTGAAATTTTTTAGAAAAAATTCTTTAATTGTGAAACGTCCAAAGGCGTACAAAAATTAATCATGTCTTTTCTAAAGAGAATGTGCATTTAAACAATCCTGATATGAACTTGTCCAGTCATTTATTCATTTCTATCTTCGCTTGCATTTGTAAGACTTATTACGATGTTGTTTAACTTAAATTTAAACAGTAAACGTATAGAAGGAAGCCGAATTAACTCGTCTATTGAATTACTTTCTATTTGGCTATCTAGCTAAGATTTAATTTATTGCTGCTCTGTTTAGATAAGTAACATTGTTGTTGATAAAAGGTTCATCTGGTAGAATTAAGAACACTTCATGTTATTAATTATGGAGCATAAGATTAATAAATACATAGTCATTGTAGACAATACCTTTCTAAATTGAAAGGCAGCTAAAGTTATCCTGCAGGGACTGTAGACTTTTAGATTGTGTCAAGTTTATTATTTACAGTCTACTAACTGCTCACAACCTCAAGTAATGTCTTTCTCTCATTATTTCTACTTCGGTTGCTAGTTAATTTTTCAGTTAGCGTTGCTTTCTTTTTGCACAGAAAACTAAGTTTAGATTATTTTGTTTGAATATGGCAAAGCACATAATGGCGTTCTAAGGTAAACTGGCTCTTATGCACGTTTTATGAAGAAAACCACGGAAACCAACCATGCAGCCAGCCCGTTCTCATGGATTTCAACCCGAGTCGAACTATTAGCATTCAGCGGTTATAACAACTCGGCCGCTGATGGGACCCAGAATACTAATTATGACAGTGCTGCTGCTTTTTAGTGCTGTAGAATCGATAATAGTTTTTGTCATACATCATCCAAATTAATAGAGCTTTAAAATTTTGCATTTATACGAGTGTTATGCCAGAAAAGAAATTAATAAATCGTTCATCTATATTCACCGTAGGTCTTTTTATCGTTCTTTTAGTTCTGCTAAGATTATTCTAGAGAACTTCTTTGGTTGATAAGATGGATTTCCTTGAAGCTTTCCATAATCTTCAAAATCTATTAATTTGGAATTTATACCGACCGATTGAATAATAATAGGTTTTTATTTTAAATGCATATGTATTGAAATTCAGTAAGAAAAATATTTAAGAAGTTTGAAATGATTTAATAACAATTTAGAGACTTTTTAATGCGTTTAACCAGTTTGCATGTTTTGACAAATGCTTTTATTTAAACTCCTAAAACTTACAGAGATATGAACTAAATTATTTAATATTTTAACCGCTTTTTTTAGAAACAAGGACTGATTCAGCGAAATGTTGAAAAGAAACATTATTGGAAGTGAAAAATGGGACTGAACTCATATTTTTCAAAGTTTTATCATATAAACTTGCTTTTTATTTTTTTCAGACACTAATTCATTAATTGCAAAATATTGAAATATTTTCATATATACAATAAAATATTGGGGTAAAAAACATTGAAAATTATAGGAGAAGAAAAATATTTTAATCGTTAAATTTTCTTCAAAAAATTAAATTAAATGGAATATTGACACAAAAAACTTTTTTTCATATTAAAAGTATTTTGCCTAACAAAACCATTTAATAATAATCACCCAAAGCACATGGAAATTCTTAAATGAAAAAAAAAATATTCAAAAGGTACCAAGTTCCCTTAAATTTTATTTAATCTGGATCTTCGTAATCTGCTGAAGGCATTTATGAAAACTTTTTGTGAAGATTCAAGAAGTGTTTTATAAGTTAACATTTCCTAACCTGGCTAAAAACTTCAATCAGGTTATTAACGTCGGCTAGAAAAATGGTTACAACTTCCTTCTACAGCAGAGAGCTGTAAAAAGAAGTTGTAATCGCCGCTGCCAAAGTCTTTATCTCTAAAATATTCAAAACACCCAATATTTTAATCTAATTTTCATCCTGGTGAAGGCTACGGAAAAAATGTATTAAGCAAAGGTGTAAATCATTATTATTGTTGAGTTAACGTAAAAATGTTTTATAAGGCAACATTGTTGGTGGTGGAACGGCTAAATGACTGATTGATTTGGCCACTATTGATAAATGTTTATCTAGCTATGTGTCCGGCCTTCGGCTAGCTATGGCCAATACAGACTCGCTAAACCTGAGAACGTGTAAGTTTAAAGAACATGTTATTAATGTTGCATTAAGGTGAAAGAACACTCAAGCATATAGACTTATTGCCTTGCTTTTGAATTTTAATTTTTTATTAGGTAAAAACGCGAATTTATTAATTGGACTACCAGATGTAAAATTTTGATTTGGTATGATTCTTGTAAAGAAGCATGTCAGTGATAGTTGCATAATAAAATGAATTTTTAAGTGATCACTTAAAAATGTTCGAGCAATCAAATTTATAGAGGGTATACTTATCGCCGATTTGCTTTTCAACATCCTTTTGTTATCTCTAGAACAGTAATTCTCTTTGAAGTCACAGAGTCCGTAAGAGGGCGGTATTCTTTACATTGAAAACTTAGGATCTGTGTCAAAGTTTCCCAACGGGTGTTATCGCTTACCGCTGGATGCTGAGAAAATCTGGGGGGGGGGGGGTGGAAGGCGTTACTAATCCGAACAGTAGTAAAAAGACATTGGAAAACAAATGTTCAATGAGAATATGCTTGAAAAATTTGTTAGCATAAAACAAAAATTTAAATTACTTACTTAAGTTGTAGAGTCGTTAGTTTTTTTTTTTTTTTTTTTAAAGCAGGAGAAGTGAAAAAGGAGCGAAGTCTGGACTTCTCAAACAAGTGTCGAATATGCATTCAATTATACCACGAAAGCAAGCGGAAAGGAGGGAGGAAATAACTTATATACTTCTCGTTTTAAAGGACGACCGGCGATGAGGGCACCTTTCACCAAACCCTGGTACTGACGAGTTATCGCCCACCACCGTTTTGTTCCGGCGTCCAGATGTAAGAGTCTTAGATTATTTTGAAGCAGGAGACGTGAAAAACATGCAGTGCTCTCACCAGGATTCGAACTCTGGACCCCTGGAATACGCGACGAGTATGCTTCCAAATATACTACGAAGGCATGAGGGAAGGAGGGAGAAAATCCCTTATAACGTAAACATTGCAGTCGGGCGTCTTTACAAGAATCGTATCAAACAGATCCTTTACATATTTGCATAGTTACATTAATAAGTTGCGTGTAGTTTATTTTTATTTTAAAAGGCAGCGAAGTTATGAACTATCAACGCTAACTTTAAAATCGAAACCACGAAAGTGTTCAATTAGAGTGTTCTTTGAATATGTACCATTACACGTTCTGTGGTAACTGTGCCCAATTTATAAGGTATATAAATGCTTTAAGAAGTTTTTAATCAGTAATGTTTAGTATTCGTATTGCGTGATGAGTTTTAATAAATAATTCTAGGAAATGTAAATACTATGCGTACCTAACATTTTTTAAGCGCTTTGTCTGCACCTGCAAATTACATTAAGATAAATAATGTAATATTGACTCACTGCTGAGTGGCGCTGAGGAAAGTGGGCGTGAAAAAGAGGCCGTAAACTAAACATAGATTAGAAAACTCGGATTTATAGATTGAGATACAATCATTATGAAGCAGCTTTGCTGTCTTTTGGTGCATCGGCTTGCCACATGATATTATTGCTATACCATGAACAAGTAAAGATTTTAATAAAGTCAGGTACTACCGGTTATACGTTTTAATCTACCATCCTAGCCAGGAGAATAGTCATTTAAATATACAACGTTAGTACGAACACTAGATAATTTTTTTCAATAAAATGTTCTTTCGAAAGTTATCTTAAATGCACAGCATAACGTTTAAAAATATATTAATGTAACTAATCACTTATCTCTTAATTTTGCATGAAAAGTAAACGTATTTACTTAATTTTACTTTGAGATATGATATTTAGACCATTTGATTATCTTTCTTCATCATCTGTGTAATATATCTTCATATTAAAGTGATATATATGAGAACATTGAAATGAAAGCTTTTTTAATTTTATTGCAAATGAGTTTAAAAAGTTAAGTGTATGCTTAAATATGGGATCGTCTCATTTTTGAGCTGCATGTTGTATATATGTAAGCCTTATATGTACACCAAATTAAATAAAAGGTTAAAAATTTGACAAGAAATGCACTAAGTATATGGAAAATTGAAGATGTAATAATATAAATAAGCAAGTAAAGAAATATGCTTGACTAGAAATTTGGGAATTTATTGCTGGCTTTTTACAAGGAAAACATTTAACAATTTCATAAAACAGAGTTATAGAAAATGAGAGGTAAAAGTCCTTTATTTTATTTTACTCTTTTCTGTTCAAGATTTCTCTCACTTTCTCTCGGATGTCATCATAGACACGTCCCAAGTCGTCTTTATATTCCTTAAGGAAATCTCTCGCTTCCCTGGCAATATCCTTGCTTATTAGCCTGGTATCTTCCAAGAACTGAAAAATAAACGTGCCTTAAAGTTAGTGTTTTTATACAAATATATACAGGGTAAAGTTTAATGACTAATGTTTAAGCAAATAATTCCAACAAATATGTCAGGCAATAATTGTCCAAATTACTATAGTGTTTTCTAATTACTATAATTTTCTGTTCATAAAGTGTTATCTGTTTATGAAAAGAAATTTTTTTGCTGTTAATATTTTGCTTTGATGCTGCGAACGTGTGCTTCCATGTATTCGAAAGTTGAAATATTTTATGTCACTATTTTATTCAAATGATACACAGTAATTCTGATTTTTTTAAAAAGATTGTTTTTGGAGATTCAACATGGCGCTTCGCTTATTAGTCTTCATAAAAACGACAATCAGCTGCTTGGATTAGGGGAGGTTCACCATGGCTTCGTAAATTTCGTTTTCAGAAATCTCGAAAAAATGGCCATGCTGATGATCTTTTCTGATTTGAGAAACGTAATTCAGAAGGAAGTGTTAGACTTTATTTAGGAAAATATTTTCCAGCATTAAATTAAATTTATTTAATAAAGGAAGTTAAAATTCTATAAATTCCATTTCTAACTCTAGTGATTTTTAGAAATTTTTTCCTTAAATTTGATATGAATTGCCTTTATCTACTATGTACATGCGCAGAACATTTTTTTGATGATTCAGTCTATATTTAATCAATTAATATTTTCAATTTACTTTGTTTCACATCAATAAATGATACATGGTTAAGTTTATCCATGCAAAGTGTTTATTATGTGCTTCATTTCTTCATTAGAAGAGTGTTAGAAAATTACAAAATTAAATTAACAAAAGAATCTTAATGGATAGAATGGAACACCTATTGGAACAATATGGAAATTTGGAACTATTAATATATTTTACATCAGAACCATATTACAAGTAGTTCAACAACCTGAATCTATCGTTATGAAGAGAATTTAAATCAATATGCATTTCTTTTGAAATGGCGTCGCCGGCCAAACAAAAAGCTTCCGGTTTTTTATATTTCAACGTTAGCAGTTATGATGATTCTATGTTTAATACACTGGTGGTTTTATTTTACCTAAATGTGTTATTCATGCACATTAAACGACGCTGATAAATATCCTAGAGTTAAATATTGTCCAAACAAGTCAGAAATGGAAAGTTTTCCAAAAACTCGGTTTTGTGGAATTATCTTAGAAAATTAACTGAATGCTTAGATTTTGTTTTAAAGATTTCCTTTGTTTTCATATTGATCATATATGTAAATATATTTATGAATATTAATTTTATTGTTTTAGTTAAATAAAATGAAAATTCATACTAGTTTAATTCGTGATTTTATTTAAATTAAATTAAATTTTCGCTTGAATATATAAAATGGAGCGAGCTCTAACTATCAACACCTGCAGAACAGTGCTAGTAAAAATATGATTTAAATTAGGCTTGTACTTGATGTATGTATAACAATCTCAAACAGAGTAACAAAAGTTTTCTTATGATTTATATATTAATTTGTGGAAATCAGCATTCTAAAAAAAATAACAAAATCTAAACTGATAGATATTAGGGTATTTTCAAGAAAATTTGCATTTTAGTTATCCTTAAAGCTCTGTTAAATACTGGTTAATGAGTGATACTGGTTAATGAGTTAAATACTGGTTAATGAGCCAATGGTTTTGTTAATGAGTGAGTACTAAAGCATTATTATTTTATTATAATGCAGTGATTCATAATCCAAATCAGCATGTTCTAAGATGTTAAATGTAATGTTCAATTAAATGTGTCATAAGTCTGAAATAGCTGGTAATTATATGTTTAAGTGGACAAAAAATAGAAAAATTAACAACTCCAAATTTTTATTTTTATTTTTAAATTTTCTTAAAGGGGGAGAGAAGATCAGGAAAGGAATTCCTAATTGAATTCTTCATTACTTTAATCCTTGAATAATGTCTTTTCGTGAATTAACAGTAAACTTCCTATTCCACTTAAATGTGAATTAAAAACTTCAGGGACATTCCTTGTAAATCCTTTGTCCTTTCTTTTGGGATTATTTGTGATCTGAAAGGGTTACTCACCTCTCGAGCGATCTTTTTAACTGTCTCAACTCTGTCTTTGCCTTTCTCCAAAACTTTTCCGTACTGGTCTCTCACCCACTCTCCGAATCTTGAGAAGTTTTCCTTGAGTTCGATATTCAGGTCTTTGAAATAGTTCTTCAGCTTTTCATAGACATCCTTTACGGACCTTTTGGATTCTTTGTCTCCCAGAATGCGATCGATAATTTCCAAGATCTTGTTCTTTCCTTTTTCGCCTTTCTCTTTCAGAGCATTAATGAATTGTTCTGCTAGCTAAAATTAATTTGCGAAAATTTGACTTGCATGCCGTATAGTACAAAATATATTTTACTTAATGAATGTGATAATTCAAGTTAAAGTAACACGTAGAATAATGAATATTGGAAAAGTCAAGCTACAAGAATCAGCGTAATATTTGTAAATGTTTTAGGACCAGTTTCGACGGTTCTGTCGTTACCAGTCCTGCAAAACTAACTAACTAGTCTAGTGCCGAAACTAGTCCTGCAAAATTTACAAATATTACCCTGATTCTTGTTGTTTGACTTCTCCAAATATGACAACATAAATATAATTATTTTTAAATGCATGGAACTTCTTACCTCGCTTCCTTTGCCAAATATTTTCTCCACCTTTGCTTTTAACTCTTCAGGGTCAACTTTGTCCTTGATCTGATAAAGATAGAAAAATGTTTTTGGATTTCTGTTTTAATATTAAATTAGAATTGTAAAGGAATCGGGATTTGATTTTGGAGAAAAATATTCTAAACATTAGAAGCTTAAATTTTAATAATTCTGGAATTCATGATAAGTATGGAATAGTTGATTTTTTTATGTCCGAGCTTCTTATTCTACAGTACATTCATGGCATATGTCGAAACAGAAAAGGTTCTATGCCAAAAAAACGAGATTCTAATTTACTGGATTTTTGTCAAAATAAACTCATAAATCTGTTATGTTTAAGAAAGAACACGCCATCCGAGGTACCTTGAGTCTCAAATAATTGAATTTCGGATAATTGACATCATAATTTCCTTTTTGGTGGCACCTCAATAAGTGAAAAACAAAAGTTTAAAATGGAAAATTCAATTTTTTTTTATCCAACGATAAACTGTCAGGTTTCATATTTCAGCATATTACTTAAAAGTTAAGTTTCTATATGAACAATGAAAATAATTATGGCTCATATTCGGGTACGCACGTGATTAGAAGTAAATATATTGTTTCCAAATTATAGCAATTTTTTAAGCATTAATTTTGAAGTAGCATATGAGTTTTGCCGTAAATGAAACTTTTTATTTCTGAAATCTCTTCATGATAATTGCCGATGATCAGCAACTAAAATACAAATTTTTCAGAATTGCTAACTTCATAAGGTGTGGTTTGTATTTTAAAGCCTAAGTTAATGTGATTTAAATTGCGAACGGAAACGTTTCTTACGCGTTACAATACATGTTTACATTAAAATTGTAAGAGTTTTATCGTTCTTTACCGGGTCCTTTGTAGTGTAATTGGAAAGGCATGCCCGACTATCATCGGAAAATCCGTAGTTCGAGTCCCAGCGAAGACATTATTGGCTTTTCATATTTCCTGATACGAAATAAGGCTTAATAGTCTTTACGAAAGTCTGTTCTTACATTTTTAATTAATCTGCTATCATTAAAATCGAATACACGTTTCGAGAGCTGGGTTAAAAATATTTAAAAACAGCACATCTTGTAGAGGCATTAGGATTTTTTGGAAGCCGGAGAGAGGAAAAATATGCAATCGCCTTCGCCGGGAATCGAGCCACGGACCTCTAAAATACCGGCTCAGTTTTCTGACCACTACACTACGAAGCCGCTCCAGAAAGGCGGTAGAAATACCTTATAATCTTCAGAATTTCCCATAGACACTCGCCCTGGAGATTAAAATGTTTTAATGTTTTTTCCGCAAAGAGTTCTGTTGCTCTCTTTGAAATCTTCGAGTTTCTTAATCAAAATTCGTTAAAAGTTTACAAAATATGGGATAGATAATAAAACAAGTTCGAGATTCCAAATTTTGGCTTCCGAGTGCTCATATTCAGGTGGAGGAATATATTATTCAAAATTTGATGGCTCTAGGTACCGTTATTTTTTTACAATGCGAGTAACATATGTACCTTCATTCAGATTTTTTATTATTTAATTTCTTTAAATATAACACAGGGAGATAACATTTGGTGGCAACAATTCGAAAAGTGATACAACGCTTTTAGTGATTCAACTCAAAATGACTAATAATGATTCAACGTTTCGGGACTAAGAGGCCATCTGGGCTAACGCCCTTTTGAGCTTGATATATATCTCTCTATATATACTACTTTAAATTCTAACTAAAATTTCTTTTTCGTGGTTTTAAATTGAATTTGTGTTCCTTGGAGATGGTATATGAAAGGTTTTCTTATTATAGATTATATTTATATATATATATATATTTTCCCTTTTCGGTGGCCATTTATTTTCTCAAATACACTAGTCAAATAATGATTGAAATTTAAAATCGGGTTCACTTATACGTATATGTATTTATAAGGAATCGCATTTGGAATTTCGGAGTATTTTAAAAACTGAGAATTCCGAAATTTACAGAATCTTTTGTAAAATGGTAATCATTGTTTGAATAATTGTTCACAGTAAGAAAAATCCTGATGTAGACGCAAGACGGCTTGCTTGTACAGCCTATTAAATATTCTTTTTAGAATAACAATAAACTGATACTAAGCATTAGTAGGTATTTCCAACAATAATTTGATGTTAAATATTGTCAAATATTTATTGACTAACTACGACTATATTTATAAACTGTTGTTATATGTTTAGTTAGATTTCGTTATTCGATAGTTATTTTTTGTTAAACTTAAAAATAGCCAAAATGTCAATAATTTAGTTATTTTCGTCATTCAGTAATTAAACGTATATAAATATGACCAACGATTACGAAAATATAGGCCAAGTAAGAACTCTTAAGTCATATAAAGTGATGAATATACGTTTTGTTCTGCCGATGACAATGAAAAAGAAGGTGCACAAGTAGATATTATTGCAGTTCCATATACAAAATTTCGACGTTCTATGGCTAATCGTTTTTGAGTTATACCAGATACATATATACACGCACGCATTCGTACGTACAGATGTCACGAAAAAATCCTTTTTGAATACATTTTAAATCCATTCTATGACTCGATTTGAAAAAGAGTCCTTTATTCTGTCCATACGGACAGAATTCAAGAAAACAAAACAAAACAAAACAAAATATCCGAATGGGTTTGGGAACGATTGAAATAGGCATTTCCGCTGTAATATGATACCTGAAACGTTTCGTAATTACAGTACTTCCTTTATTTCATCCAAAGAAGTTTAAAATTAGGGTAAAGTTTTGTTATAACCATAAAAATTAGAAAGAAAGCATTAATACGATTTTTCACTTACAAGCTGCTTAAGTTTCCTGAACATATCGAGGATGTTGAAATCAGCTTCAGCAACGGAGCTAGCGCCGATTTTGTCCTTGAAAGTTCTGAAAAAATCTTCAATTTTCCCCTTTAATTTCTCGAGAAATTCTTTGCCTTTTCCTCCAATGCTAATATTCTTCAGTTTTTCGCGAAGTTCCTTCAGCTAAATGAAGACAGGATAACATAATTTTACTAATATCTATTAAACAATTATATCATTTTTTCATTTCTGAATTATAGAAGTATTAAGATTCTTATGAATGTATAGTTAAATATCCACTTGTTTTATAGAGAAAGCTAAGGAGCGCTTTTATCATAGGTATTTTAATTTCAATCGAATAGGAGGATAATTTTTGAAAGAAAGTTGATATGTTTCTAAAAGCACTTTTCAAAGTAAGTAAGATTTAGAATTATATATTTTAATATCGCTTATTCATGTATTCTTCACAGAAGTGCATTGAAAAAAAAAGCTAACGGGGTTATAAATTATCATTAACAGCACTTTTACGACATACAGATAAATATTTAGCAGCAATTATTACGGGCGTTACGCAATAATGGGGAATATAAAAAATTATCTTATTTTTAAATATCTTTCATTTTAGACTAGAAGAGAAACACGCTAATGTGACAATCAAAATCGTAAAAACAACCTTGTATTTAGCAAGCTTGTATTTAATATATTTACGCTAAATACAAGGTTGTTTTTACGATTTTGATCTTTCGTTTTAGTTTTTGAAATGCATTAGCTCTCAGTTTTTAATGAGATGGATTATTATAATCATATGCAAAATTTACCTTTTCCAGTGGTCTGTCGAATGATTTTCCATTCGCCATTGCGTCCTTTATTTGTTCAACAAGTTTGTTAAACCTTTCCTTCAATCGCTGTATAAAACGGCCACCACCTTCTCTGCAAAATAAAGAGATCTTTGACCTAACGTTCTTGTCTTAATTTGTCAAGAATTTAATTTATACGTTTACAAACTCAGCCAACTCCAGGCAATTGGCTAGACAGTGAACAATATAATTTATTCTCTTTATTTTAAACTAACAAAGATAAAATAAATTACTTTAAGGAATTTAACTTCATTTGAGCAATATAGTATTTACAGAAATGGCAAATAAGAATATGGATTGAAAGCTGGATTCCTTTTTTGAGAGACACTCTGGGAACAAGGAATCATTTGAGAGACATTCCAGCCGAATCCGGAATAGTAAACTAATTAAATTGAAAAACTCTTTTTAGGTTAAGTATATTGAGAGAACCATCATAACAACTAGAGAATTTCTTGGGTAACTCCTAGAGTTACAAATTCAAAAATTAAGGTATTATTAGGCAAGCTTTTTAGTTTAAATTTTTGTATCGAAGTCCCACGAAAAATTTTAAATATATTTTGGAACTACGCCTGTGACAAATTTGAGAGAAAGAAAGAGAATTAAGTACGGTACTTTTTCCTCTTTTACATGACTAGCAAAGAGAGAATTTTGAGCGTACAAAATATGTACAATAATTTTGTTGATCATTGTGGGTGAAGCAAATAATTGTCTGATACCTTTATCTATGTAATTAATTTACTTATTAATTAATTAATCCAGAGAAAAGGATGGTTTTAATATTTGACTTACTCAGCTTCTAATTCTTCAGCAAACAATTCAGCTTGCAGTTCGGCATCTTTCTTATTGAAGCCAAGTCTTTCCCAGAGTTTCTTGAAATAGTCTTTTGCTTTTTCCTTAATTTGCTGCAACAGTTCTTTTGCATGTTGTCCGATGTCTTCCTTCAGCTCCCTGAGTCTTTCCCTCAGTTCCTTAATCTATTAATAAAGTGGAAAATTCATCAAAATTTCCTTAATGGTGCATATTTACTGCAGTAAGAACTGATCGTTCTTAAGTAAAATTACGATACAGATTTAAATATCTGTAACAAATCTTTCTTATTGACTTGTTTTTATTCCGTTTAATAAATTCGTGTAATTCCACTAATTAAAATACTGGCAACAAAGATTTTAAGTTCCCAGTGTTTGTAGTGCACGTCGCTTAAATTGATGAAGCATACTTTTCTAAGCTTTATCATTAATTGACTGATTATGCTGTAGAGACATTAAGTATTTTTTGGAAGCAGACCATTACACCAGGAAGGCATGCCAAGAAAACGGGAGAAATATCTTATATACTTCCCGTTTTTAAAGAGCGACTTGGGTTTTTAGGCGACCCAGTCGCCAAATCCTGGGTGAGGAGAATCATCATACAACACCCTTTTAGTTCGGGCGCCACTGTAGAGACATTAGGTGTTTTTGGAAGCAGGCAAGATGAAAAATGAGCAGCCGCCTTCGTCAGGAATCGAACCGCGGACCTCTCAATTACGCGCTGTGCGTACAGACCATCACAACACGAAGGCATGCCAAGAAGGCGAGAGAAATACTTTATAATGCAAGCAAGGGCTTTGATTTTAGATATTACTGTACATAATTTTAACAGCTGTTTATTAAATTCTGAGGCAAATTTAATGTTTAAAATAAGTATTAAGTTAATTCTATTAAGGAAAGATATTAACTTACTTTTTCAATTGTACTCTCCTTGACAGTTTTGCCGTGGTCAATGGCGTCCTTCACAATCTCTAGAAACTTATCCAAGTGCCCTCTAAGTCTCTTGCCCAATTCAGTTTTGGGATTTTCATTGCTGAAATGTCAAGCACAGAATTTTATCATGCTAGATTTATTATAAAAAGTTTTGAATGCCGTCAAAAAATTCGATTTACAATTATTTGTTCTAATTCCAAAACCTATTAGAGAGCGAAGATAACTGGAAAAGAATTTAACTTTTGTAAATTAAAAGATACAAAATGTAAGAGGAGTTAATTTCAACTTTAAATAGCTAACCACATTTTAAGAGGAAAATATAGTGTTCTTCATTGTAGGAAATACTGAAGTGATTTATTCTATTGAGCAAAACCAAAGTGAAAAACAAAGAAAATATTAGCTGCTTAAAAGTTAGTGAGTTCTGAAAATCAGACCGTAAATCACGCTATTGTTCTGAGTTAAGAAAGGCTCAGAGTATTCCAATTTATAATTTGAAAAACCAAGCATATGAATTATTTTAGCAGAAGAAATATCAAATTGGTGCTTTAAGAGAAATACAAAATTGCTCACATCCAAAATACGAAGTTAATTATAACTAATCAGAACTGATACTTAATAATTCAAATTATAATCTCCCTGAACTTCAAATTAAGCAGAAAAAATTAAATTTCGCCTTATTAGAAAATGAATGTTAATTTAAATTCAAGTGACATTACTGAAATTGTTGAATGTAAAATTATTTAGATTTGTAATTTTCACAGTTCTTATTAAGTTTTAGATTTTATGCGTTTCCCTTAAAAAATGTGGATGGAAATCTTAAATTTTTACTCTCCCGATATGAAAAGATATTTACACTAAAAAATATGATTTTACTGGATGACGAAATTATACTGCTTAGTTCCGCAGAAATGTGTATTTCGTGAATTCAGATTTAGTTTCTTAAAGTTATGGGAATGAAAATTAATTACTTAACTTTATTAATGTATATATGTATCGGGTTAGTCCATAAATTCGTGCGCATTAAGAGTATGCTGGAAATTCATTATGACGCATTTACTAAAACAATACAGTTTTGAACCTGTTAAAACTTGTCATCGTTTGACTAACTTATTATTCAGTTCATGACCAACTTTCGTAAATATCGAACGCATTTTAGTACCCATAGAAGATGAATATAGCTAATCAGTACAAACGTGCTGTGCTAGGTTTTTTATTTTCGTGTGGTGAATCTGCCAGGTTTGCAGCGATGAAAATCAATAGTGTACATGGTGAACACACTATTAGTGTAAGGACTGCCCAGAAGGGGTTTAAAAATTTAAAGTTGGGAAAAGCAGCATCGATGATGAACCCCGTTCAGGACGTTTTGAACTGTTAGAACCAAATCAAACGATTAATTCAGAAGGTTATAGTGAACAACTTTGCCGTCTAAACTCAGAATTTTTCAAAAAACGCCCACAATTGGTGAATATCAAGAAAGTTCTGCGTTTCATCATAACCGCTAGACCGCATACGGCTCGAACAACGCTGTATTAAATGAGTGAACTTTAATTGGAAGCTTTACCAACATCTGCTTACTCCCCAGATATTACCCCAGCTGAATTTTCACTTATTTTCGTGCTTCAAAAATTTTTTTACTGGGATAAAAATTAAATTCTAAACAGGTTGTACACAATTAACTTTTCAGTTTTTTTTTGGCATCAAAACCAGAGTCTTTCTACAGCAATGGCGTAAAAAAGCTGCCTATAAGATGTATTGTAGATAATGGAGGAAAATATATAATTGATTAAAATGTTAAGTCGTGTTTTTTTATATTAGTTAAAAATTTACCAAAAAATGCTCACGAATATATGGACTGACCCAATATTTTTCTTATTAACTTAGAAACCGGTTGTTAAATTCAATTTCTTATAGATACCATATACATTGCTTCACTGTTAAACTTCCTTTTTACAACAGTTTCATATAATTTATAATATCAGTATTTAATCATACCCAGTTTCGGTGGGAAGTAGGTTAGGAATCCGTTTTATGGTGTTTTTTGCGTTAATTGGTTGGAAGGGATATCTTATTAAATTATCTCTATTATCTTTAATTTAGCGCTGTATGTTATGATGTCTTTCGCCATAAGCAAGCAAATTTTTGAGATTACTTTAGATAGTATTATAGAGAATGTCCAAGGATTACCTTAACAACTATTTTAATAACTCAAATTAATATTAAAAATGCGGTTTATTTTAGATGATGCAGGATCTGATAAAGCTTCACTTTCTTCCTTGTTACAGATGAATCATTAGCAAGTGACTATGTAATAGATGCCACAGGTGAAAGTGCAATGTGTGTCTTGGTTTAATAAGACTAAATCAGACTACAGCGCAATTTTTGGACTATGTATGAGAAGAAGCTTCCTTTCAGACTAAGAACTGTTGCGTAGTAAACATTCCAGACCAAGAAATCTTACGCTTATTCATGCGTGGTACAAGACTCTGGAAAAAGGTTGCTTACCATATGTACTCCAAAAGCTACGATATATTTGATGTCTATGAACCAAAATACATATTGCGCTTTCTTATGGCCATTCGGTAATGATTTACGGGCATTAAAGTATTTCGTAACTGTATGAATCATAGGTAGCAAACCGTGTTTCGATATTTAACATACAATTTGAATTGTTAAAAGTTTCAGTTATAAAGGTAATACCTGGGCATCCTGTATTTCAAAGGTACGGTACGAATAATTCTGCCACTAATGTAAATATATTTAGAAATTTTCTACCCGTCATTAATTGGTAAATGTACAATACCGTAAATTTTTAACTAAAAAATATTCTCATCTTTAGAAAGATTACATCTAAATCTGAAAAACGAAATCCGGGAAGAGGGGCTGTTAACTTACTCATCAGCATAAAACTCCATTTCCAAAGAGCGTTTCTCGGGCTTTAGTTTCTCAAGAATTTTGTTCCAGTAGTTCTTTGCTTTTTCTTTCAGCTTCTCGATTGCTTCCTTTGCCTTTTTGCTCAGATCAAGTTTCAAGTCCTTCAGCTGTTCACGAATTTCTTTAAGCTGATAAAAGGAATAAAAAAATCACTTAAGCTATTTCATTAAAGCTATAAAGCTTCCGTTCATTTAATCTAAAGCATAAAAGTTGAACTGTTAAATTTGAGTACCTTCTCTATATAATTTTCTTTGACGACTTTCCCTTTTTCAACAAGATCCTTTATTTTTTCAAGAACTTTCTCGAATTCTTCTTGCAGCTTTTTTCCCAGTTCTGTTTGTGGTTCACTGAAAATTACAAGAAACTTTTAGCTTTAAAAATTGTGAAGAGTAAAAATATATGATACATATCGAGTTTAAACTAATTTATAACTATTATTATTATTAAAACATTTCAGAAATGTCTAATACCAAAGTCTTAGCTAGTAAATTCCACATGATTGCATTACATAATAGAGATTCTCTATCAGTATTTTGGAAATCGTTTTGAATATCGTCTTTTCAAATGAACTTATTTAGATAATAATTATAAAATATACAAGAGTTAATTATGCTACAGAATAATTTTAATATTCTTTGACCTATCTTATGCGTATGCTTAAAGTTGCAGAAATCGTTTCAGTGTACAATTATAGTTAATAGTACAAAACGTATGCTTTTTACCTTCAACACCGCTGAAACTTGGTTTTAATTGTCAGAAATGCATTAGAAAATTGGAAACTGCCTTAGAATGATAATATTTCCATTAAATTTTATTCTTTCTGTTTTGGTTGTAAACTTCAAAGCAGAGACAATTTTACATGAAACATTCTAAGCATTTTCTCATCCTGTATGAAACTAACGGTGGATTGCATACATGAATAAAATTTAAAACTTTCTACAAATCAGCAAATAATTCCAATGATATACTTATGAGATACGTACTCATTAGCTTCGAACATTTGCTCAGCGTGAAAATCAGCAGAACGCTTGTCCATTCCTAGTTTCTCCAGGACCTTTTTCCAGTAATCCTTGGCCTTTTCCTTGATTTTTTCAAGAAGCTCCTTCGCTTTAGCTCCAATGTCCTCTTTCAAATCTTTGAGCTTCTCACGGATCTCCTTGATCTAGTATTATTCAGATATAGCAATGATAGTTTATTTCTATATTCAGATATAGAAATAAACAAACTGAAATATAGTTTCAGTCTGTTTACTTAAGAAACTTAAGAAAGTAAATCAAGCCATCGAAATTTTAGTTGTTTCAATTCTTGCTTGAAACACTGTGGTATGGATGACATAAAGAAGAACACAATTTTGGTTTCCTTTTGGCTACCCCTATCAGAAATTTTCGTCTAAATTTTTCAGAATCTTTAACTCTTTTACTTGGGATGACAGAAACTGTGCCCTAATACCCGAGTGCCAAACCTATCTGTAATTGTTGCTTGGAAAGTGCTGGTATAATTATTTGCAACAGTAATTTACCAAAGGAACGGGCTCATAGCTAATCACTCAATAATTCTGTTCTTAAATAAAACTATCACTGCTGTTTATGACAGTGAAGAATACCGTTTCGTAATGTCTAAAGGTAATTGCTCAAAATGCTAATGATTTACTTTACGATAATTATTGTTGAATGAACTTATATTTTATATATTATTTGTATTTTCTCAGCACTTAGTTTAAAATCAGATATTTCATTACATTTTGATACTGAACGTTTTAATCACATATTGTCATCACTAATTTACATTCCAGAGGTTAAGTACTCTGAGTACTTAGGTTTCGCACTGTAAATTAGTTTATCATAAAACGTTCTCTTAAATTATTTCAGTGTGTATTAAAATAGAAGAGAAATATTAAAAACGCCACCAAAGAAGCGGCGCTATCTTGCAAGAGCTCACGCATGATGTTCACTTCATAAAAGTTCTTAGCCATTCACAACTAGATATTGTGAACATTGTTTCGTAACGACAAAACTGAAGTCGGTAACAAAATCATAGCTCATTATAAAGCTTATTTAATGGATTCTAGAAACAACTACAGTCCACTTAAAGAAACACTGTGCATTTAAAATAACTTTGTTACGATAATTCTCTGTGTATAAAAAAACTTCACTAAAAACATCGAAGGGTTTGTGATTTTGTTTCGAATCCGATGCAGCGTTTGCTGGCAAAAGAGGCAACCATTGCCCAACGTCGGAATTATGTAAAAAATCAGAGGTGCTACCATATTATCAGATTTCTGTCTTTCAGCATCAAAAAGAATTAGAAGTATCTATCTTTTAGTTTATCTAATTTCATCTGTCTTTTAGTTTTATATCTGGCACTGCTTGGAATATTGTAGGGAGAAAGGTAACGGTGGTGAGATTTCTGCTTGGAGGAATAACTTAATGTTTTATCTCGGTAAATCTTTAATTTCGATTTAAGTATGTCTCAAATAAATAGCGATAACTAAGCTTTGTAATTTTATGTTTTGAAACATATAAACTAGTATGGAGTAGTTATTTTCATTAGTAACATTAAGTTCGAAGAAAGGAATCCATAAAACATAGGTGAGTGTCGAGGAGGTCAAAGAGAGTTGCTAATACAAGGGACATCATGGAGACGCTCAGATGTATGTGAGCAAAATGAACACTTGAAATCTGGCTTCTAAGCACTTTTTAAACGAATATTAATACACTCACACGATTATAAAAACATTACAATTGTACATGTTTAGAAGAATTATGCCAGCCATACCAGTCCACTTTTCACACTTGTTTTGTTCCAACTGCAAGTATTATCGTTTCTTTATTTTGAGGAAACATAGAAAATACAAATTAACGTAGGGCTTGGGGTCATACTAAGTACAGTTATGTCTAAAACCGTGACCAAAAATCCAGCCTCGCAGAGAAATCCAGCAAGCTCTAATAATAGCAATATATGCTACTACACAGGCTATGTGAAAAACTCCTGCTAACTTCAGGATTCTTACAATAAATTTCGAAATCTTATTATCATTATATTTTGAGTACTGCATAGTAGGTTTTAATTAATAACTCGGTGTTATGCAAATTCAGTAAATACCTAAATGCCTATCATAAT